AAGAATATAAATAAAATAAAAATACACATTTCAGAGAATTTTCCATCTGTTTTCCATCTAATATAATGCTTGTTTTCTAAAAGTTTTACATAAAAAATTTCAAATTTAAAAAAAATGGAACTTTAAAACTGCCCCGTACCTCCAGTTTCAAAGAGAAAGTTAAATGTGAATGAGAAGCGAATTCATCCTAGGAATTTAAAGTTGGAAATACTGCAGGGCAAACTTGAAAGCATATTACTGGAAAGAAAAAAATAGCACGGATTATCCATAAAAAGAGAGCGTGGAAAAGACAGAAAGAGAGCGAGCGAGACAAAAAGAGGCTGTGGGCTCAGCAGATAAAGGGTCAGTGTTTGGGAAATGGGCTGCAGACTGAGGGGCTTCGAGCACCTCTTTATGAGCCGGGGAAAAAATTCAAGATTATGCGTATGGGAAACGGGGTGTAGTGAGTACAGTGGCCCCTGAACCCCTGGGAAAGAAGCAGGGCCGGGGAGGGGCTTATGGGTCGTGAGGGTAATTGCTGGGGGGTTCGGGGGTTCGGGGGTTGGCCGGCCGGCCGACTGTGTGCCAGCTCACACTGGGTGGCATCCGCACAGACACGCTGACATCATGAGAACATAACAGCACAGAGAATGAGAAAGAAAGAAGAACAAAGTGCTTTCAACTCTTTGAAAATATATTGTTGAATATAATATATATTCAATCAGTAATTTATACTTATGCTTAAAACAGTATAAAACTTTATATATTTTGTTTATATATATATATTTATGTACATACTCAAAATATATTCTGTTTTACTGTTTTTCTTTCTTTCTTGTTCTCTATTGTTTTTGTTACTTGGTATTATACTGTATTTTATTAATGGTATATTTATAAATATGAATATATACTATCATTATTATAGAAAATTATCAAATAATAATAATAATATATAATATAATAATAAATGATATATGCATTTAATTATATATATATAATTTCTAATTATAATATTTATTATTGTTGTTTGTAATGTTATAATTTTTTTAATGGTGTATTTTTAAAATTAATAGATTGTGTGTGTGCATATATATATATATATATATATATATAAAATTCATTATACTTTTCTATATAATAATTTGTTATATTTACAATATTATTTATTAAAATTATTATTTATAATATAGAAAAGCTGAGGTATTTTCACATAAATTCAATATTTAATTGTGTAATATTGAATGAAATCAGATAGATATAATGTGTTTTATATTATATTTAGACTTAAATTTATTTGAAATAATACTTATTTTATATATTATATATCTTGTGTGTGTATGTGCATAGTAATATTATTTTATTTATTAATGACATTAATTATAACGGTTGTTTATAATATTATTTTACATTTTATATTAAAATGTGTACATATATTATTTTGTTATGTTATTTGTACATTCATTCTTTATTAATATTATTTATAATAATTTGTAATGTTATTTTATATTTGCATAATCAGTCAAACATCAAAACAGTATAACATACTAGTTTTCATCGTGCTTTACAAGCAGTCATTCTTGAATCATCTGACCCCATAGTGACTCTAAGATCTACTCGGGAGTGTGTGTCTGATACTACGAGCAGTGAGGAAATTTAGAATGACAAATAATATTCCAACTGGGCATCAGGGTCCGTCTTCAACAGGAAGTGCACTTATAAAGCTGCATGCAGTCTGAATATGAGAACCGCTGCTTTAGTTGTTTGTTTGGTCTTTAGTGCTCAGTCGATATGTGCCTAATAAACTCTGGCAGGCCGTGTTAGAGCATGCGTGTGTGTGTGTGTGTGTGGATGGGACAAGCCTTGTGAACGGCAGTAATTTATGAGAACAGGCTGGGGGGGAGGGCGGGGAGACGGAGGAAAGAAAAAAAGTGACAAAAGCGAAAGAATGTGGGACGTGTGAGAGAGGAATTTGAGCAGAACTCAACTATCAGATTAATGAGTGTGTGTGAATTCAGATAGACTGAGAACCAGTGAAAATGAATGAACTTTTACCTTGCCAGAATGCATATAATTTATATTTAAATAGTCTTTTTTTATTTAAATTACTGTAATTGTCATGCTAGCTTGAGCATTTCATAGTTCCCATGGTCATAGATAACCTGGAAATTCTGGTTTTCACTACTTGAAATTATTAAAATCTTAAAAATTCATACAAATATCCATAGTTGATTTAGATTTTTCTAGATACACTCCGCTAGAAATTGCTCTTTTGCCATTTAAAATGTTTATTTAGCAGTCATTCGTAATCTTAAGGTACATTTCTCTCCGTCTCTCGCCTCTCGCTCTGTCAGAAGCAGCTGTTGGCTGATTTCAAGCATTCGGAGAGATTTTCAGCTCTTTAGCGCATCTGGAGGAGCGAGAGAGACAGGAGTCGAGTGGGAAAAGGGCCTGCGGAGAGGAGAGAAAAAAGCACAAGCGTTTGAGAGAAACATCAAGAGATTGAGCCGAGAGATAGACAGAAACTGCATGCTGAGCGGCTGAAGGGAACTAGAGGAAAATAACCTGAAGGAAAGTTTGAAAGAGGGAGAGGAGGGGTCCCGAGAGTTTTTCCCACACTCTGTTCTGCGCTTTAATCCGTCAGGATTGGGACAAAATTCAGATGCCCTCCACACAAAGAACAGGCGTTTTTCTCTCTCTTGAACGAGCCGTTTGGTATCTCACAGGCTCTGGCCCTTTCCTCATGTCTTGGCTGTGTTTCTGTTCTCACAGTCCGTTCGCATGTGTTCACACATTCTGCCCATTATCACAGGAGTTTAGCAGTGCCACTGATTATACCTCAGGGAAACACTCGAACACCCCTAACCTAGATCTGCCTCTGTCTGTCACTGATGGCTTTCAGATGCCGGTACATAAAACTATGTTGAGTGACCTTTTGCTGGAGCAAACTTTATCTCTCTGTCACGAGAAACAGGTAGAGTCAGGTCACAATCCCATCAGTGTCCATGTTTCAGAGTGATCACTGTTTTTAGTACATCATTTGGTTGATTTAAAAATCATAATGTTAATATGAGGCGTAAACTGCACGTTTAATTTGTGCACCAAACAAATTAGCAAAAATAATGACTGTTTTCCGACAGGTTTCTAAACTCGTCCCCCTTTAGTCAAGCTGTTTTGGGCTCAAGAGTTCAAGGTTTGGCTGGTTAGCGTTGTAACTACCCTGTCTGTGTATAACATTTTTTTTATTTATTTGATTCATTAAATCAAAAAGCTTTCATTATACATTATAATATTATAATATTTCACACTTATTAAATATATAATATTATATAAATAAATAAAAAGTGTGTCTGTGTGTATATATATGCACAGACCTTTTTATTTATTATTTATAATAATAATAATAATAAATTTAATTTATAATGCACTTTATATTTAAACAAAATCTCAAAAGTGTTACAAATTCAAAAAAGAAAAACAAAAGGACAAGAATCAACCAAAACTCTGGTAAAAAGGTGGGTTTTAAAAACACATTTAAATTGTACAATTATACATTTAAAATTGTAAAACTATTTATAATTCATTAGTCCTTTCACAAGTCAGAGATATTATATTTTATTTTATTATTAACCCTATCTCTAAATTATATTATAGTATATTTTTTACCCAAAACACAATAATCTCATCTCTATGCTACAAAAGAACACAATAATATCAATATTTATTAATTAATTTGATATATTATGTTTATGTGTGTGTATATATATACAGAATATATGTATATGTATGATTTTATTATATCATAGTATTTTTTTTTTACCAAAATGCACTAGTCTCATCTCTGTGCTAAGAAATAACACACTAATTTAAATATTTATTTACTTATTCATTCATTAAATCACAAATATTAACCCTAACTTTTAATTATTTTATAGTATATATTTTTTTACCTAAAACACAATAATCTCATCCCTATGCTACAGAATAACACAATAATATCAATATTTATTCATTATTTTTTGTATATGTGTGTGTGTGTTTGTATATATATATATATATATATATATATATATATATATATATGTATATGTATGATTTTATTATATCATAGTATTTTTTATTTTTTTACCAGGATGCACTAGTCTCATCTCTGTGCTAAGAAATAATTCACTAATATCACTAATTGTTTATTTATTCATTAAATCATCAATATTTCATTGTGTTAGAGTAGATTTTTGTAACCAAAACAGTAATCTCATATAGTATTAACTAAGATAAATCACTTGTTGTATTTCTAATTTGTTAAAATGAATGAATGTAAATCGATAGTTAAGATTAGTAACCTGGACATGTGTTTAGTTTTGTTCACTCTTAATGGCAGTTTTTGTGAGTCTGATTTCATGTTCTGTGACTGATGAATTATTGTGTTTCTTATTATTTATTGAAATATTGTGGCAACAGTAACACGAGTCGAATGGTTTTTCTCAGAGAGGTTTCTCAGCACCCCTGGAGTTTAAAGAGACATGAATGCTAATGTGTCTTTGAGAGACGCTGACTGATATGTGTGTGTTGTGCAAGTTGGAAGACGTGTGACAGCATGTGTTGTTTTAATATTAGGTGAGGGATAATTGGATTTTGGAACGAATTTCATTTTTCATGGCTTAAAACCAATGTTGAGTGAACACAGTAGAAAAGGAGAGGGAATATGTTTATGATTTCACAATTATTATGAAATTGAAGTGGAAAAGTGTGAATCTAAAGGTTTAATGGTTGGGATATTGGTCTGTTCACGCTGTTAATGTCATGACTTTTAGGATTATATGATCATGTTTTTGATGTTGACATGTTTTCTACGTAACTTCACTTGTTTTTATTTGAGGTGATAATTAGGGTCATCTTGGTGGGAAATAAGAAAGACACTGCCCAGCCCGACCTGAGGAGCTCAGCACACACACTCAATCACACACACACACACACACACACACACACACACACACACACACACACACAGAGAGACACAGACA